CTCCCAAGTAGCTGGGGACTACAGGCACCTGCCACAACGTCCAGCTATGTTTTGGTTGTAGTTGTCACTGCTGTTTGGTCGGCCCGGGCTGGATTCAAACCTGCCAGCTGTGGTTGGTGTTATGTGTCTGGCGCCCTAGCTGACTGAGCTACGGGTGCTGAGCCAAGATATATATTATTATTTTTTTTTTTTGCAGTTTTTGGCCGGGGCTGGGTTTGAACCCACCACTGCTGGCATATGGGGCTGGTGCCCTAACTCTTTTGAGCCACAGGCACTGCCCTATGTTATTAATTAATTACAAGAAAAGAACCAGATTTGGTTCCTATGTGAAAATAGAAAACTTATCCTTTAAAAAAAATATGGAGTAGGGTGAAAGCCTTTAAAAAGTCTATTTTGTAATTACCTGGTATCCATTCTTCTTTGTACACCTTCATATATCTTTTACTGTATCTTTCAATATCTAGAAGAAAATGAGATAAAGAATTCATAAGGAAAATCAAAAATAAAACTGAACTCAAGCTGTTCCTTTAAGATAACTGAAACACCTTTTATTTCACATACGGGTAGTTTTTTATACCTTTGTACATAATGAGTTCCTGAGCACGCAGTCAAAGTTCAATGAGAAGGATGTGCTTAAAGCGTAGCAAGAAGCAGCTGGATGTGATGGGCTGGGGGTAAACCCTGATTATGGTTCTTAGAGCCTGACAACCTGACATATTCACAACAATATTCACAAAAGCCCAAAGTCACACCAGGAAGCCACTTGCATACAAGGTCAAGGGGGATGGGAGGAGGGGTCTAGTCAGCATCTCCTATTATATCCTTATGACAGTGACCTCCAGCTCCCACTTGGGACAAACGGGATATATTAAGTACCTAAGTGTTGGTAGAGAGCTGTTTGCTCACCTCTAGCACTTAATACACACATAACAATTCCAGTAGGCTCAACAAGCCACTTTTCACAATCCATTGTGGAGGGGAGTGGGGAAAGCGCAGGGGTAGTAAGGCTGGACTTGGTGAGGCACTACCTGTGTGAGACACAGATGAGCAAATTATAGGCCACCCAGGCCAACTACTGAAAACACTGCAGGACAGTCTGAGCTGGCCGAAGCCCACAGAGCTATAGCTGTGCTGCTTGCTTCTGATGTGTCCACCTTTGTCCACCAAGAAATTCCCTTTCACAGAAGGACGTGTTGGCAAGCAGCACAGTGACACAAGAGCTTGAAACCAAAAGGACTTTGAGAGCTGAGCCATGAACAAGGGAAGGCAGTAAAAAAGATGATTATTTCAAAATCAAGGACAAGTATGGACTCATTTTTGTTCTATGTCAAGAAAACACTTTTGGGAGGCGCCTGTGGCTCAGTGGGTAGAGCGCCAGCCCCATATACTGAGGGTGGTGGGTTCAAACTCAGCCCCAGCCAAACTGCAACAAAAAAAATAGCCAGGCATTGTAGTGGGTGTCTGCTGTCCCAGCTACTGGGGAGTCTGAGGCAAGAGAATCACTTAAGTCTGGGAGTTGGAGGTTGCTGTTAGCTGTGATGCCACAGGACTCTACTGAGGGCGATAAAGTGAGACTCTGTCTCTACAAAAAAACAAAAAGAAAAAGAAAATGCTTCCAAATAATGAAGCCACGTGTTAGACAACAATAACTAAGGTAAAGAGACCAACAGACCATGTTTCAATCAGTATTGAAACTGTATGGCTTACTGTACAGCCATTCAACTGTATGGCTTAAAGTGAAATGTTTAATGTTGCTCTCAAGTTTCTCATCTGTAAAAAGAGATCAGCAGAAATGAAATTCTCAGAATTTCCATTATAATGACATATTTTTAGACTTTTCTTTAAAACATATTCTATATTTTGAAAAACATTAATCCTCAGTATATAAAGAAAAAGAGTTTTTAGCCATTTATTATTTGGATCCAATGGACCACATTTTATATTTTAAAATTTTTGAAGTTACTTTCAAATAATTTACTGAAGAATAAAGAGATAGTGAAAAACAACTATTAGAACCCAAATTAAGGGCTGAGCATGGTGTCTCACGCCTGGAATTCTGAGACTCTGGGAGGCTGAGGTGGGTGGATTGCCTAAGCTCAGGTTTGAGACCAGCCTGAGCAAGAGCGAGACCCCACTTCTACTAAAAATAGAAAAACTAGCTGGTACATGCATGTAGTTCCAGCTACTTGGGAGGCTGAGGCAGAGGATCACTTGAACCTAGGAGTTTGAGGTTGTTGTGAGCCAAGCTGATACCACAGCACCTTCGCCTAGTGCAATAGAGTGAGACTGTCTCAAAAAAAAAAAACCCCTCAAAAACCATGTGCACGAATGCTCATGGAAGCATTATTCCTAGTTCCCTGAAGGGGTACTAACCCAAATATCCATCAAGTGATAAGTATATCCTATAATAGAATATTATTTAGCCATTAAAAGGAATGAAGCACTGATTTGTACCGTACCGTGAATGGACACCATGCTAAGAGAAAGAAGCCAGTCAAAAAGAACACATTATTTAATTCCATTTATACAGAACATTCAGGACAGATAAACCTAGAGATAAAATCCCACTGATGGTGCCATGGGCTGGTGGGAAGGGAAGACGGGGAATAACTACTAATAAGTAGAGAGATACATCTTTCCAGGATGATGAAAGGCCCTAAAAATTAGATAGTGGTGGTAGTCACACAATTCTGCAGCTATATTAAGAGAAACTGAATAGAACACTTTAAAGAGTAAATTTTACATATGTGGATTCCATCACAATAAAGCTATTATTTAAAAGGAAAGAAAGGCTGTGCCAGGTGGCTTCACACCTATAATCCCAGCACATGGAGAGGCTGAAGCAGGAGGACTGCTTGAGGTCAGGAGTTTGAGAGCAGCTTGAGCAAAGCAAGACCTTGCCTCTACTGAAAATAGAAACATTAGCTGGGCATGGTGTTGGGCACCCATAGTTCCAGCTACTCTGGAAGCTGAGGCAGGAGGATCGCTTGAACCCAGGAGTTGGAGGTTGCTGTGAGCTAGGCTGAGGCCATGGCACTGTAGCCTGGGGAAACAGAGAGTCTCTTTAAAAAAAAATCAAAACAAAAAAAAAAAGTAAAAAAGAAAATTATTAGAAATTTTACTAAGATAATTAAGTCTATAGCAGATCAAAATTGATAGTCTACATTTTACTGGTTTTGAAGGTAAATTTACCCCAAATGGGCAAAGTTCTTTGAATACAGCTACCTATGCATTCAGCTTTCATGTATGAACCTGCATTTTGCATATTCTGATTCCAGATTTCAAGAACATCTTTAACGGGTTCTAACTTATCATTTCTTCTGGTTCTTCTTCTCGTACTTGTATCATATAAGTGATTCCAGGTTATAAATGCACTTCCAGTGGGTTCCAGCTTATCATCACTTCCAAGTCTTCTTGTACTTACATTTAGAAAAAGAAATACAAGGGATCTTTTGCTTTTGTTTCTTTCAGGAGAAAACTTTTGTGTAGAATTTCCCAAGTAAATTTTCCTTGTAAATCTTCATTTTTTATGTCTTTCCTGAGGTAGTATATTAAAAACAAAACAAAACAAAATACTAATGTTGAAAATACAGGTTTTTAATAAAATGTAATACTTTAAAAAAAACTTTGATGGCTTATAATATTCTCGAAGAGAGGATGACCCAGCCAACTTCTTTGCCCTAGACTTGCAAAACATTTTAAATTTGTCACTGATAGACATGATCTAATAAATTGTTACATTCCTCTATGTACTATTTTCTTTTCTCCCCTCCCCTCCCCTCCCCTCCCCTCCCCTCCTCTCCCCTCTTCTCTTTTCTTTCTTTCCTTTCTTTCTTTCTTTTTGAGACAGAGCCTCAAGCTATTAACCTGGGTATCACAGTAACCTCCAACTCCTGGGCTGAAGCGAGTCTCTTGCCTCAGCCTCCCAAGTAGCTGGGACCACAGGTTCTATTTTCTTTCTTTTCTTTTTTTTTGAAACAGAGTCTCACTATGTCACCCTGGGTGGAGTGCCATGGCATCACAGCTCACAGCAACCTCAAACTCTTGGGCACAAGCAATTCTCTTGCCTCAGCCTCCCAAGTAGCTGGGACTACAGGCACCCTCCACAATGCCCAACTATTTTTTTTTTTTGCGTTTTTTGGCTGGGCCTGGGTTTGAACCCGCCACCTCCAGCAAATAGGGCTGGTGCCCTACTCCTTTGAGCCACAGGCGCCGCCCCCAACTATTTTTTAGTTGTAGTTGTGGCACCGCCCCCAACTATTTTTTAGTTGTAGTTGTCATTGTTGTTTGGCAAGCCCTGGCTGGTTTCAAACCTGCCAGCTCTGGTGTATGTGGCTGGCACCCTAGCCAGTGAGCTATAGGCACTGAGCCTCTATATTCTGTTTTCTTTCTTTTTTTTTTTCTTTTTTGAGATAGAGAGTCTCACTCTGTCACCTAGGCTAGAGTGC